TGAGGGGCAGCAAACTAAGTAACTTCTTTCCAAATCACTCGACTAGCAGGTAGAACGTTGAGGAAGATCTGACCCCAGGAATTTTCACTTCAGAAGCCTGTTCTCCTCTGCTCTGTCAGGCACTTCCCATGTATATCACATAATGGTCATCTTTACAGGAAACCCTCATTTTTATCCGACACACTTTTATTGTCACTCACTCAGTCAATCTACTCTTCTAAACCTAATAAGTGTTCCATCACTAATTTCTTTCAGATCTTAGAGACAATCAAGGGCTCCCTAGTTTTTAAAGATATTTTTTATTAGAAATGAATCATATATTGCCGAAATCGGTTTGGCTCAGTGGATACAGCATCGGTCTGTGGACTGAAAGGTCCCGGGTTCAATTCTGGTCAAGGGCATGTACCTTGGTTGCGGGCACATCCCCAGTAGGGGTTGTGCAAGAGGCAGCTGATCGATGATTCTCTCTCATCGATGTTTCTAACTCTCTATCCCTCTACCTTCCTCTCTGTAAAAAGTTAATAAAATAATATTTAAAAAAAAAGAAATGAGTCATATATGCATTGCAAGGTGGCAATCATTGCCAAGTTATTTTTAAAGTTTCTCTTTATTAAACCAATACTAGTTTTGAAGAAATCACACATATGATATTTTTTATATCTATGTTTTATTTTCCTTAACTGAATAGTTTGGTCTATAAACCATATTTTCAAATATATCCTATTTTTCTATAATATAAACTTAAATGACTTTCGAAAAATGCCCTTATGGGAAAATATATTTAACTTTTTAAAAATTGTTTAAATAGCCGGGACCGGTTTGGCTCAGTGGATAGAGCGTCGGCCTGCGGACTGAAAGGTCCCGGGTTCGATTCCGGTCAAAGGCATGTACCTTGGTTGCGGGCACATCCCCAGTAGGGGGTGTGCAAGAGGCAGCTGGTCGATGTTTCTCTCTCATCGACGTTTCTAACTCTCTGTCCCTCTCAATTCCTCTCTGTGTAAAATCAATAAAATATATTTTAAAAAAAATTGTTTAAATAGGGTTCAAAATGGTGAGCCTCAATTGCAATATTATCATTCAGCTTTCTCTTTTAAAAACATTTTTAAGACTACCATATCTCCTTACTTCATTTTAATTATAGAACAACTAATGATTTTTGACAGTTATTATTGTCCCATTTGTCAAATAAAAGTACAGGAATCAATTGATTTTGGGTGGTTTCCCTAGAATCACACAGTAGCACCTGAGTTAAGATGAGTCTCCATGTCTAATATCGAGATTCTAGTCTTTTCCATAGACCTATGTCAGCCCCCACTCCTTGATTACTATATCCATTCATTCATTAATTCACTCATTTTCTTCTTGAGCAATTATTTGCTAAATGTCTGTGTTATGGACTAATGTTTAATTTTCCCCAAACCCATGAGTTAAAGCCCTAGACCCCATTGAGACTGATTATATTAAGAAAGAGTCTTTAGGTGGTAATTAAGTATAAATGAAGTCATATTGATGGGGTCCTGATCTAAGAGGCACCAGAGAGAAGTAGGGTTCTGTGTGTGTTCTGTGTGTGTGTGTGTGAGTGTGTGTGTGTGTGTGTGTGTGTGTGTGTGTAAGCAGTACTTAGGAATGGCCATATGAAGACAGCAAGAAGGCAACATCTTTAATCCAGAGAGACTTCAGCAGAAACCAAATAGACTTCAGCAGAAACCAAATAATCTGGAATCTTGATCTTGGACTCCCTAACCTCTGTAATTGTGAGAAAATAAAATTCGGTTGTTTAAGCCACTCAGCCTGTAGTATTTTGTTATAGCAACCTGAGCTGACTAATCCAGTCTAATTATTTCAGATAATGTAGTTAGCATTGGATAGCACCACAGAATGAACTCAATTAAGACATCATACTTAAAGAATAAAACTATGCAAGCTCTCATGAGGGAAGCTAGCCAAATAATTTGGATTTTACACAATGCTTTAAGGTCTTTAGTATATGGGTTTATCTGATATTATGGTGGGACAACATTTAAGCATTACTAAATTGTGACTAGATAGTGTCAGGAATAGCAGCTGATCGATGATTCTCTCTCATCGATGTTTCTAACTCTCTATCCCTCTCCCTTCCTCTCTGTAAAAAAATCGATGATTCTCTCTCATCGATGTTTCTAACTCTCTATCCTTCTCCCTTCCTCTCTGAACTTAAAGAATAAGTAGAAACTTGCTAAGGATGGGGAGGAAAAAGAGGTTTCAAACAGGCAGGGAGACCAATATGTACAAAGAATGAAGGCTTGATATAATATAGGAACTATGAATCAGACATGCTTTGTAAGGGAAAGAATAGAGTCTAAGATGACCCAATTTTTTGCTTGAGCAACTGGACAGATGGTAATGCAATTTATTATACAGGAAATGTACAAGGAGGTGAACTTTGTAGGAAGAAAAAAGCAAGGATAGTACTGGAATGGAGATTGCCATGATTTGTTCAGTCCCGTTAGGCTGAGTCCTGTTGGGAAACATTTAGTACAGAATCTGACACATAGTAGGTCCTCAATAATAGTTTGCTGAATCTGGATTTCCTCTGTTAATGTTTATTTTCCCTGGCTTAAATCCTTTATTTTTTTTTTAAATTGAAGAATTATCAAAAGAAAGATTATAATAGTTAGAATTATCTGTCTAACCAAATAGGAGGAAAATCAGCTATAGTTGACAGAAAATATGACACAAGAACAAGGAAAAATGAGCATTTAGGAATAGGGTGAGATGCCTTTATAAAAGTGCCCTTGGTAACCAGGATTGGATTTTATATTAACTAGGGTAAAATTAAAAAAAACAAAAACCCTGAAGTCAAGAACTCACTGCTTCCTCCATGGATAACAAGTTTGCCAAAAGGCACTTTCTCTGGTTTTGTTCATAATACAGCTGGAGTAGAAAATCCACATTCTCAAAAGTGATGGAAATCCTTGAAATGGTAAAGAAAACTAATGAATTGAGAACTGAATTCTTGAGGAAGAGGGAGGCAATGGGTGATCTTAGCCAACGAGTCATGAACTATTTTTAGAGGTATCTTGAATTCCAAGCAATAAAACATTACTCAATTTTGATGTAAGAAAAAGAATCATTCTACATTTCTAGAGATAGATATTTGTCCATGTATGTATTGAAGACATTTTACTCCAAGGAGAAGGAAATTATAATTATTTTAAAATTTCCTCTAGATGAAGAATTTCCTCCAAGCTCATCCCCCATCTCATAAGTATCCTGTCTAAAGAGGCACAGCCCTGCATTTACCAACCCTTTAATTGCAAAATAATTTCACTATTAGCTTTGTTTTACTCCAAGCCTTCTGGATAATCTTGAGCAGCACTGCACTTTGTTGTTTAACTCTAAAGATTTGTAATAAAAGTTTAATCAGTTACTTATTATTAGAATGTTTATAGACATTATTTTAAGGAGAACAATAATGACGTAGAGTTCTACGCATTTGGTTTAAAATGTATTCAACTCACATATCAGTTAATGCTACAGTGAGGTTTTTTTTTTTAAAAAAACAAAACAAAACACTCTTATCAATATACATGTCTAAAGGCAATGTAGCTAAACTACAACTTTACCAGAGCTTCAGCTAAGGACAGAACTAAGAAAGGATTTCTGCCTTGTCCTCCTACCAAATTAGGATCTTAACTTTTGAAACTTTGGAATTTGAACAGGAATTGTTATTCCAGCATTTTGAACAGGTATCACAAGGGGATACACATAAAGCAAAGGGACAGCTATTTAAAATTAAGTCGTGGCATATTTATTTCCATTTAAAAAGCTGACCAGATAATCTACTAAATGATCATGAATTTAAAAGAACACACCAAATAAATTAGTTCATCCACTTTCTATCTAACTAAAATACTGAAAAACCAAAGGTTAATCACATCTCCAAAAAAACACTTCCTTGCTAATGCAGAAATTGTCTACAAGTTTTCCAGATATTCAGATTTTCCAGAAATTAGATGCTGTGAATTAACCACAAAAGTTTTCAAGTTATAAAAAATAAATGGGAAGTATATATTCAGTATATATCTGCTAAGTATATACAAAATTATGAACTCAGAAGAATAACATAGTTATCTGTCCTATGGAAATATAATTTACTTAGCTTTCAAAATCAGACCATAACTGCTCATTGTTAGATATTGTCAGATGGGTTCTGTGAAAAATACAGCTGAAACTAGGAACTGATTTTCATATTGTTTTTTGCTGTAATTTTTATTTATGAATTATTTATTAAATCTATTTGATATAAGAACCATCACAGAATGCAGTACAGCACTCACATTCTAGAAGCATGTAGAATCATAGCAGGGTTATCAGGAGAGGTAAAAAAATATTAAAAGAACACAGAGCACAATTAACATGTAATAGTCATATAATGGAGAAAACAAATGTTTCTCCAATCTTCCAAGCATTCCCCAAAGAAAATATGATAAACATGTCATATGGCCCAACCACTGTGACTCAGTGCTTGAGCATCAACCTGTAAACCAGGAGGTCATGGTTGGATTCCCAGTCAGGAGACAGCCAATCAATGATTTTCTCTCAACATTAATATTCAAATGTTAAAAATATTTGAATATTTTTAAATCAAAACAAATATTAAAAATAACAACATAAGATGACATTTATTTTCTTATGCCACATACTGTCTGGTTGGCCATATAAAATGTTTCTAAATATTAATTATAGAAACAATATTTGGGATGTTTTAAATTATTATTTTCTTTGAGCATTCATTCCTTAGTTGAGTTCCTTTCTATCATATTATCTGTACACCTTTAAAACAACACTTTTGTTTCTATCAAGAAGTGACACTCTAAGGGACGTTCTCTTTAAAGATCTATTTGAAGAAATTTTGCAACAAATGGAATTTGCTTATGTTATGTTACATTTTTTAAACAAGTAATCTCTTCTTCATACATCAGAATGTGTATAAATGTGATAATAGAATATATTCTTACCTCCCATCCATAACTGGGGTCTTTCAGGTTTGACCTCTGCTCTCCCACATAAGGCCCAAACTTTTCACCTACTTCAATCTTCCTTTTGGTCCATATTCCTAGTCCCGCTCCAGGCATAGTTGACTCTCGAAGTTCAAACTCATCAGGAATGGGAATATCATCTGGGATGTATATGGGGGCTTTGTATGGAGAGCCCTCCTTTGGAGTGAATGCTTCGCTGGATGTGGCTGGAGAGCATGGCTCTTGGATATTGAGGGAGGGAGTGCTGGCTACTCCATCTGCATCTGGCATTTCTTCCAAAGGAATGTCAGGGTAACTGCCATAGACACACTCATTACCTGTGAATAAATAATAACTTCATGAATTCATGCTAATTTACAAGAAACAAAATCCCACAGTTAGGAAGTTACTTTATAATGTTGTTCTTCTTTGAAAATAAAATAGGGAAGCATCATTGTTAAAATAGGCCTGCATTAAAATCTGTTATTCACAGATGGGGGGGGGGATTATTGCTTCTTTAGTTTGTCTGTAGTGAATCCATAAATCAAATGAATTAATATCCAACTGTCAATAATATTCTCATGGCCCAATTCAATCCATGATACATCTGGGGAATAATCAACAATTTAATTATTGGTAAGAATAAAGTAGAGATAAGAAATAAAACAGCATGTATCTATCCCCTACAAACCATCCCAGAGTGGGAGCTAATAGCATTTAACAATGTATTAGAAAATTGTCTCATGCACTCGTAGCTTGGACTAAATTGTAGGAGATTCGTCAAAGATTCCAAAGGCTGCCATGTGCAACAAGGCTTAAATTTGTGGTAGGATTATTTAATAGAATATTAATTAATGTTTGTTCTTTCTCTATTTTTCCTTTCCCATTTCAAACACATTGCCAAGCCCTTGGTATTCTCTTGCCTCAGTAACTTCCACAGAGAAGATCATTAAAGTTACTTGAAGCTAGTGATTCCTCTGGATATTTGTAAAAGTAAAAATCATTAAGGAAATTATGTGGGATTTCTAGAGGGGAAATGGGGAAGAAGGAAAGAAGTCAGACCTTAAGATCTTTATGCAACTTCTTGGGGATAAAGGGAAATTATAAAGAACAATGACTCAGCTTGTTTACCAGTTGAAAGAGATTTCAGCTACCTATTCTTAAAGCAAATAAACCTATGGTTCTTGACCACTCAGACTATAGACTATGAATTATATGTGATTGATTTGATTTGTAGGCCTTTCCAGGGAAAACTAAGAAAAATGGGTCAAAATTACAAAAAACAAAACAAACAAACAAACAAACAAAAAAACATATTTCAATCGGAGCCACTCAAAGGTAAAATGAGTTGCTTAAGTTGCCATTGCAGGGGTTCTAATATAGCCCAGATAACCAAAACTACAAATGGAATAGAGGAATTCTAGTTTCAGGTTGGTGACTAGAGTAGATGATTTTACCCAACCTGCAGTTCTATGAATTACTAACGTCTTCCAAGATAGTGTATTCGGCTAGAGGGTAGAAAACCCCAATTCCTTCTCTGATTTGTTATGGAAGTTAAGTAGCTATAACACAAAATAACAATGGCCATCAAGCACTGAATCCTCTTAAAGCTTTCTAAAATGAAAATGATAGCCCATGCAAAAGTAGCTTTTGAAGGAAATGCTTGTTTCTTGATTGAAACAATGAGATAATTCCATCAAAACCAAGCATAGAACTGGCATTGAAATTGGGACTCAAAAGAACTGTTGGCCCAGAAAAGAACTCACTACAGACTGATTCATTTGCCTCTCTGCATAACCATTATGGCTTGTTGCAGTTTAGGTTCTTACAAGGATATTTCTTGGATCACATGATCTCACACATCTAGAGGAAATAATGAACAACATACACAGACCCACAGAAAGAGAAGCAGCGATCAGACTCTCAAACCTCAGAGGGAAAGTAAGGGAGGATGGGGGTAAGGGGAAGAGATCAACCAAAGGGCTTGTGTGCATACATATGAGACTAGCCAGTGGCCATGGACAATGGGGGCTGCGTGTGTGTGTGAGGGGGCATATCTAGGGAGGGGTTTGGGATGGCAATGGGGGAATAAGGACAATTGTGTGAGACCATAATCAATAAAATAAATAAATAAATAAATAAATAAATAAATAAATAAATAAATAAAAGCAAGCTTAAAACACAGTAAGATTAAAAAAAAGAGGGGGCGAGTGTGTAGAGTCAAACCCATCTGGGCCCTCCCACTGACATAGCTGATCCACGACCTTTGAATTACCCATAAACTCTCCCAATGCATAATTTAAATGAATGTATTTGGATTTCAATTCCTGTGGAGACAAAATACTTGTAGGCCCAGGTTACTGCACAGAAGAATTTGAACTTAAAGCCTGAATGCAGTTCTGCTTACAATGGCAAAAATTTCCAATTAAACCTAAAGAACAGCCTATATAGGCCCAGAAAATCCAGGAGACAGACTCAGGGCCCTAGTCATCCACATGTGGCATTAAATGTATATGCAAACCCAGGCGATTTGCTTTCAAACCACCTTTAATCTAGTGTCATCAGAATTAAATATAAAAAGAACAAAAAAAGAATTAAATATAAAAATGGCTGTGGTGACAAAAAAAAAAAAAAAAAAAAGGAAATATAAACCTGCTGAGTTTTATGTATCAAAATAGGAAACAATATTTTAATGTAATCTAGCTTTACAAAATTTTCAACAGAAAATGCAGTTTCTCACACTGTGTTGAATATTTGCATAAACCAAAATAAACTCGTGCATTCATGAATGTTACTCAAGAACTATCCCAAAAGCTGGCAAAACATTTCATCTCAATGATAAACTACCTCAATTATCATATCTCCATTAAATCTGTGTTATTGGAGAAAAAATGGTAGTTCCTCTCCCTGAGCTATAGCTACAGTTAATTAAAGCATTGCTCAAATATCACACTGACAGATTGGGCACATTTACAATAGGTAAGTATCAGGTAATAAATGCTATATACATCAGTGATCCATAAAGATAAATAACCCTTGTAACTTCTTGGAGCTGAGCTGCCTGCTACTGGAATTTGTTTCATGCATCCTTGAAGTGTGTCATTAACTGAGGACAGAAAACACATTTATTGTTGGATTTGAGGCAAATGACTTGGGAAAACAGGTTGAAAATCAACTTCTTCAATTCAAAATTTAAATGTTCTCATATCTCCAGAGATCCAACAAGATGCATAATTTAAATGAATGTATTTGGATTTCAATTCTTGGATTGAAATCCAAATACATTGGATTAGATTATATGTCTTTCTATGACTCTTTGAATAACATAGGTTCCCACTTGAAGTGACTTCCATTTTGAAAACACAATCAGAATCTGCAAAGAGGAAATTTCAGAAATAATATAGATAATAATAATATCTGCTTTCACAACTGTATCTATATTTTCCATTTTTTTTAATACATTTTTAATTGATTTCAGAGAGAGGGAGGGATAGAAACATCAATGATGAGAATCATTGACCAGTTGCCTCCTGCACACTTTACACTGGGGATGGAGCCTGCATCCTGGACATGTGCCCTGATCAGGAATCAAATCGTAGCCTCCTAGTTCATAGGTCGACATTCAACCACTGAGCCATGTTTTATTTTTCTCATTTTGACACTCACAACCCAGTGAGAAAACATGGCGAGAAGCATAACCTTCTGTCTTGCAAATCTGGAAGCTGATACTCAAGGATGCTAAACAGCATAGCCAAAATCAACGAAGTCTAGCCCCAGGTGTCCAAACCCAGTCCTCCCCTTTACCCGTTCTAAAAAATATATTATTTAAAGTTGGTTAGTTTGTTTTCTAAATTGTGACCATGTTACGTGAATAGTTTGTTTTTCTGTTTCTTCACTTGATATGTTATTGTGAACACTTCCTTGCATTTCAAAAAATATTTTTAAAACTAAATGTAATTACTGCATAATATTCCATTATATGACTCCATGATAACTGAACTATTTCCATGGCATTTTATTTTTGTTGTGTTTAGCTTTCTGCTAATTATAAATAACACTGAAAGAAACATTCTTTCATATAAATACTTATATTTTTATATATTGCCCATTTTCATTTCTTTAGGTTAGATTCCTATATGAAAGCTCATTGAATATTAACAGATTGCTTTTTGGGGTGTATGCCAACTTATGTTCCTATCAACTACATTGGCATTTATTATTGTGTCTTGTTTTGAAAATTTATTGACACAGTGGAAAAGATTATACATTTATTCTTGCTTTAATTCACATCTCAGTGGTTAATGAGACTAAATATTTTTTCATTCATATTTCTTCTTTTGCAAATTATTTGCTGTTTTTGTCCATTTTTAATTGGGCGTTTATTGGTGTTGTATTAATAATAAAAATTAACCTTTTGATATACTTTTTGCTACTTCCTACCTAATGAGGTTTTTGTTCTATAAAATGCTTAACTTTTATGGAATAAACCGTATTTTTCCTTCGTGATTTTCCTCTTAGAAAGTCCTTACTTATCCTAAGAGGCGAAAAAAAGAAGATTCTCTTATATTTTCTTTGAGTTCCACAGTTGCTTTTCTACCAGCCTTGGATCTCTAATGATTTACTGCTGAGTGAAAAGCAGAGAAAAATGATTTCATTTATTTGAGCTCCTGTGAGAAGCAAGCTAGGAGGGGGAAAAAAGCCATTTCACTCGTAATTCTTTGGTTCTTATTTGCAAGGCTGGCCTAAAATGCCTTCTCTTTTTGTGGGTTTTATATAACTCACCATTTGTTTCACTTGGCTTCTCTGCCTAGTTTAACTGCAAATCTTCTGGGCAGATGCCATTCAAAATCCTGAGTTTCACCATTAATAGCAATTCAGTACCCATCATCATACTTATCACTCAGCATTATCATTAATGGTACTAACTAAAAAATATTTTTTCTTTCTACTCTTCGCATTAGTTCATTGATAGAAAACATTTAACAACTAAACAGAGTTTAATACTAATATGAAAAGCATCGGTGGGCAGTGTGGCAATAAAGCAAGGCCGATTTCTATAGGCACTAAGCAAGAAAGCAGTTCTTTATACCTAGCTATATACATATATGCATATAAAACATCCTCCCAATGCACATACTGTGAATTTGCTGTGTGTGTGTGTGTGTGTGTGTGTGTATGTGTGTGTGTGTCTGTGTGTGTGTGTGTGTGTGTAATAGCTCACTAATCTTAAAAATAGACTGAGACAGAAACATGGTTTGAGATCTCAGGCAGACTGGTTGAGATCATAACTACAAGAAACAACTGCCAGGAGGAGACCAGCTAGGGAATTGAACAGATT